CGATGCAGCTTTGAAATCTACAACTATACTTGTGATGTAGAACGGTGAAGGAAGACGAAATAAAATAGTAGATTTTGCGAGCCCGAAGGGCGAAGCAAAATCTTTATTTTGTGAGTCTTCCGAACCGGAAGACATCACAACCTACCCAACCCATCCACTTTTATAATTTAGCATCGATTTCGGGCTTTCAACTATGAGGGATCCAGCGGCGTGCGTGCAGGGTATGATGTATTTTGGATTTAGTGGTAAGCTTTAAATGGCAAAAGTCTCGAGTTTCCCCAGTACCTGGTCCAACAACTACAACTATACTTGTGATGTCTTCCGGTTCGGAAGACTCACAAAATAAAGATTTTGCTTCGCCCTTCGGGCTCGCAAAATCTACTATTATAAATCTAAAACTGATGAATAGACTACGAACCTTTTTAAAATTCTCAAACTGGCATCAAGTAATTTGAAATATACATATTTAAGTAACGCTTATTTAAATTTTATCTAAACATAAAAGTAAAACTGCGGTTAATTTGTCATATAATTGATACACTCTTATTTCATGAAATTCATGAAATATCAGACAATTTCTTGATAAAAACGTTCGAAAATACAAACAACGATCATTTCCATAAATTATTTTGTAATTAATACCAAAACACATTACAAATCTAAAGTTCAATATTTATTATTAATTTCCAAAAAAAATCAATTGGCATCAAAGTGTAACGCAAATTGGAAATTTTTAAACATAAAATTTATCCAAGCAAAACTGAAATTCCTGCGAGTAATTTATTAGTTGATATACTTTTATCGAGCATACTCACGACAACGTCTTATCTCGCATCGCAACTCTCACATCGAAAATTGTGAAGATCACAAAATTTGTGTTGTGAGGAGATTCGCAAAATATGACTTCGCAAACCTTGCAAATCTTCTTAAAAAAACTATTTTGATATTGTTAGCCCTGTAATTTCTCTCGTCGGAGATGAGGAGGATTTGTTTGCTAAATAATTTTGCTAAATAAGAACATGCTGAATTGCTGGATAAATTTGCAAAACAAATCACAAAGTTTTCCAGCAAATTTTTTTCGAAATGTCCAATTTATGCTCAATTTGCGAGATATTCGGCGGTTGATGTGAATACGCTCGCTATTATTTAATGGATGCACGTTGATCATAATTTTTTTCAAGTATTTTCCAGTTCATAAAAAGACTTAAGCCGAAGACATGAATATAATTTAAATCTTATTTAAATCTTACAAATTTATTTATTTACTAATTTTTATCGGCGTCAAAATTATAGAAGGTCAACACTATATTACGATATTGCCAAACCACTAAAATTTGTCTGTAGAAAAGTTACACCAAATTTATTGGTACACTTTTAACATAAAAATTTATTGGTTCGATTTCTGCATTATTCCCGGAAAACGGGGGGAAGAAACCCCACAAAATTCCTGCCTCCTGTAAAAACCCGACTCTAAAAATTCTCCAAAATTCCCCGAAACGTTCGATAACTTCTTAAAATGCTCGAAAATTCCCGGAAGCTTTCAAAATTCAGAAAAGTGTTTCAAACTTTTGTAAAAATACTCGAAAATTAAAGGATTTGCCGAAAAAAATCAAAAATTTCTCTCTTCCTTTCCGTCAAATGAGTATACGTTTGCACCACAATCTAACCCACGCATAAAATTTGTAAATATCATGGAATTTATTGGAAAAATTCACGAAAATGGAAACAATGATATTCAGAAATTTTTTATGAATTTTTTAAATTTGATCAGGTCCAGCTGCTTGATCAGATCCAAACTTCACCTGTATCGCATTTTTGACTTATTAATTTTCCCAAAAATTCTCTACTGGCATGAAACCTTCACATTATATTTCGTCAGGAAATTAGCCTGCTATTTGACTACAAATTTTCGAAAGAAAAATTTCAGATTTTGTTAATTTGGAAAACAAGAGCACGCGTCAAGCAATTTGTTCATAAAAACAGCTCAGGAATAGAAACTGAGCTTTTTCATAAATTATTTCTGACTTAAAAATTAATTGGTGCCATGATTCATCTTGAGCAACTCTTTGCTCAAAATTAAAAATTCCTCCAAATTTGAAACTAGCATTAAACATCGCAAAATACGATTTTAGACAACTCATTAAAATTTTTATATACAAAAATCAGACCAAATTTACTTTTTATTGGTGCCATGATTCATCTTGAGCAACTCTTTGCTCAAAATTAAAAATTCCTCCAAATTTGAAACTAGCATTAAACATCGCAAAATACGATTTTAGACAACTCATTAAAATTTTTATATACAAAAATCAGACCAAATTTACTTTTTATATGATTGATACACTTTTCACATAAAATCCATAAATAAGAGGAAATTTACTATAAAAAATTCACAGAAATTGAAACAATGACGTATTAAACCGTAGTCAGAATTTCTGACTACGGTTCACTTCAGAAATTGAGTATCTTACTAATGAGAAACACTTCCACCTGCAGCACATTCGTAATTTATTTATTTTCCCAAAATTCTCTACTGGCAAGGAACTATCCCATTACTTGGTATTTTGTCAAACCCACAAAATTGACTTGCTGTTAGACAACGAATCTTCAAAACAAAAATTTCACAAAATTTCAGATCTCATTAATTTGGAAAAACAAGAACATATGTATCAAGGAATTTATTTAAAAATACACATATTTATTTAGAAATTGAGCTTTTTCATAAATATTTGCGGACCCAAAAAATAATTGGTGCCGTGATTCAACATCTTGAAAATTAGTTCAAAACTTAAACTGCTGCAAAATTTTAAACTGGTATCGAACCATCACATAAAGAATTATTTTGACAAATTGCTAATAAACACGTTTACTTTTGACACAATTTTTACTCTACGCATAAAATTCTTCAATATAATTTTAGTCGATATAATTTCCTGGAACAAAAACGTTCCAAAATTGAGATTTAATCAACCTTTCCATAAATTAAATCTGAAGTCTGAACAACGCATGGAACAAAGGGTGTAGTAAATCTGATTCCAAATATTTCAAATATATGGACGTAACTTAAATTTGTCGTAAATTTGAATGAGGAATAGTCCCAAGAAATTATTGTAATGAAATTAATATTTAACAAATAATCATGCACAATCAAAAAGAAATTGTCGACAACAATTTACAAAATATGGGTAAAAGCTTGTCTCATCTGAAGTTAATTTGTGTCTTGTATTTGCATAATAATTCATAAATGGCGTTGAACTTGAGATGCAATTCTAATTTTTTGGTATGCATGAATTAATTTTAAACGAGATTTGTAATATTTCAATTTTATCGCACTGCTAATTGCCAAAATTTTGCCCACAGTTAACACTAAATTATGTACAACAATTTACTACTAATTTTAGGTGATTCAATTATCATCTGAAGTTAATTCGTGTCCAGTATAGTTTTCATAAATAATAATCCATAAAGAGCGTAAAACCTTAAGTATTTACAGTTATAAATTAATTATACCGATTTTGTATTTTTAAGATATATAAGAATTAATTTTAAATGAGACTTATAAGATTTAAAGTGTTTCAGGGAATTTAGGACGAAAGGTACCCATTTTCACACAATTCACAAATTTGATATTCCTTTACATAACATATTCTAAATATTTATCCCAAATTTCAAGTTGTTAGAAAACTCTTTAAAAAAAACTGCAAATCGCAATTAGCTGCAAACGTGATATCTACAATTCATATCCTTATTAACACCTTTTCCAAAATTCCGAACTGGCATTGACCCATAAATTATGACGTTTTTCGCAAATATTATGCAATTAATTCGATGTCAGAATCGCACTAATCCTAAATCACAATTCAGCAACGTCAATTGAATGATGCATCTTAAAAAAATCTGAAACAAATCAGGGAACTGAAAATATGACACAAAATTAATATCGGGGCTAAAATATTGCTGTTTAATAAATACAATTTATTTCTATTTTAAAATTTAGAATTTTTGAGGAAGAATTGTATTTGTTATGACCCCCAGATTCTGACAAATTTACATAAATATGACTTTCACAAGAAATATTTCAGGTTCAATTTCAACCAAAATCACAAGCTTTAATACAAAATAAAAAAAATCAATTTCAACATCAACCAAACCTGAAATATATGTAGAAATAGAAAGCGTCAAAAATTTCATTATGGAATTAAAAATCTATTTATTTATGTAAGTATTTAAATATGATGCCCTCGATTAGATGCCCTCGATTTCAAATTTAGCATTTTCATGTCGTTAATCAAAAAGTTAAACTAATTATAAAATCATTATTTATGAGTATATTTTCTGATAACAATTCACCAATATTTTTGTATTTGTGTTGATTTTACCACGAACTTAAAATCCATTAACCTAAGACTCTGTACCAAATGCGTATACATGAGCAAAATCGAAACCGGGGTTAAAATATCGCACTTATCCATATTTTTCATGCTGAACATATTTAAAAATTTAGAATATTTAGGTTGCAGAAAACAAATAGTTTTTGTCAACCATATATTGACAAATTTACATAAATACGATTTTTAAGAACAATTATCATATTTTGACGAAGAAACCAAACATTTTTTGTAAACCGTCAACCGTATTTTGAAAATTTTACGTAAATACGATTTTCAAACTTACTAATCGTATTTCGATTTAATTTTCATCTAAAATTAAAAACTCGTATAAAAAATTTGAACAAATTTCAATTTCAATGTGAACCAAAGTTACAAAATTGCATTAAAACTTTTCTAATGTAATTATAAATCAATTTTCTCGCGTAAGTGAAACATCCCGGACTTAAAATTTGTCTTTTTAGGTCAACAATTTAAAAAGCTAAACTAATTATAAAACCAATTCTGACTATTTTTATTAATTTTGATTTTTAAGAAATTTTGGCTAAAAATTCACCAACTTATTCGTATCTGTGCCGATTTTCAAGAAATAAAAAAAATCTCAAACACTTCTTTAGTTTCCCAACTCGTAATAAATTGCCAACTTTTATTATTTATTACTAAATAATTTTACAACATAGACATCAAACAAACTTATCTACAGATAACCACCTAAAATTCAAATCAAATTTATGTACATTAATCAAAATTTCAGAATCAAAATCTTATAACCGAATTTCATTTTGTAACTTAACAATTCCAATTTCTACATAAATTTCACAACTTCCGTGCTTTTCGCATATTTTTAATCGTCCAAGTCTTTCGCGTCGTTCTCTAAATTTATTTTTATTTCCACCAATTAATTCAGTAATTTGCATATATATTTAATTACAATTATTTGTATAATACATAATTATTAATTGCTAATTAACTATTTTGGGCTACAGTGTGAATAAATGTGTGAATTTTTTAATCGTGATTAGGTAACAATTATTTTAATCGCTATTTTTATAACAATTATTAAAATCATTCTTCTCAACTTGTTACGTGGCGATATAATTTGGTGATTAATTAATTCTTAATTAAGATAATTAATTACTCATTTTTACAGAATTGGGAATTTTTGTTTTTATATTTCTGGAAAAAAATCAATGAATAAATTTTCACATTTTTTGTTTCTATTTTTCATCTCGAATTACTTATTTTGCTGTTGACTTCCGGTCGTGACTTTCACTTTCTCCAATTCGCAGCTTACTTTCTTCGCTGGTCCGCCATGTTCAGATCGTCCTGCAGTTGGCGAGCATAATTCGCACTGAGAGGTTGACCTCGATGGGCGGAGAGCAACTGTGCAAAAAAAATAAATTCTAAGTGCAAATTTATAATTAAATCTACATATGCGCGAAATTTACATTGTAATGAATTGCAAATTCATTAAATTATTGCAAATCGTTGACTTAGTAACTAATTAAATTGATTAATTATTGGTAATTATTATGCAAAATAGGCTGAAAGCAATTATGAAAAAAATGGATAAATTGGAATTTATGGATTTAAGAAATTCACATGAAATAAATCTGGGATAGAATTTCTGCGTGTTAATGAATTAATTAATAATTCAATTTTCCTCAAAGATATTTGTAAAAATTGATAAAGATATATTATGTAAACTTTCAAAATTTTACAATGAATGTTATCCGTACATTGACGCAGTTAAGTTTACTCGTCTAACTTTTTTTATCATAGTAAACGATGTTGTACATTTACGACCTGAATTACTAAAATCTTTGCTCATAATTCAAAAATTTTCACAAAAGGTGTTTCATACTGGCGAAATAAAAAATTCTGCAAGGAATATTGAAATTTACAATTCAATTTGCAATGGTACCAACGATTGCTTCATTGGCAATTATCTCGCCATTATTAGTAGATACCGAAATTTCTGTGTGTGTATCACCATATTTGCATAAATCTCATTGAGATTATCTCAATATGCCCATTATCAGCGATACATGCTTTCCATTTTATGTAAACTCTCTCTAATGACATGCAAATGAGGTGAACCGCAAAAATAATCCCGCAATACAGTCGAATTTTTTGTGCGTGTCACCTCATTTGCATATAATAAATCTCATTATGCCCATTTTTGCTGGACGGGCTATCCACGTTGAATAAACTGTCTTTCGCTACTGCGTCAAAATATGCAAATGAGGTGAACAATCAAATTTCAAAATAATTACCCAATCCATGAGATACGGGGACATTCCGACGCGTGGTGCAAATCCGCCGGCGGGATAATACTCAGCTCCGGGTCCGGCGGGGTAGACGCTTTCACCGGGAGAAAGTTCGGCCCCATTTTGTTGTCCGCCAGTCGCCCCCACATCACCGCCACGTTTTCCATGTGCTCCGAAACAAGAGTGACCAAAACGTTGGCATCCAGCTGCACGGAAATTTAAAGAAACCTACATTAACTTAAATAGACAAATTTTTCGTTTTTTGCTTTTCGGAATAGCATTTCTTCAAAATTGGTTGTATTTAGCAAGTTTTTAATTAGTCATACAAAATTAGTATATTGTAGTAAATTTGCGTCATTTTAAATTAAATAAATTACAAAACATAAAATCTTTATATACAGGTTTCATTTTATCAATTTTCAGATTGTACAAAAATTTGGAAACTAATTGTCGTCAGAAATATTTGGAAAATTTTGGAAAAGTTTACGGAATATACGGTTTTTAGCAAGGACAGCGTAAATTACCTCAATCTTTGTAAATTACAAACATTGCAAATGTTTACAAATTGTAAACTGAGAATAAATTCTGAAAATTTGAACTCCCTTTCTTGAAATTTCAAAAATGATAAAATATCAAGTAACAAATACATGTTATATATAGTGTTCATAAATTGATTTAAAATTTGTAACATCTTGACGTCAGTTTTACTTAAAAAAGTATTTATTTATATCGCACGCTATAAAGTTCAGGTTAAAAAATGGGATTTTGTGATTTGCACCAGTGGATTATAAAATTATATGATTCACTCAGAAATGATAATAAATTTTTTTCATAAGGGTGAAAAGATTATGAAAGAAAACTACTGTTCAGCCAGTCTTAATAGTCTCAATTACTTCGAAATTTTTCTGCGAGGTTATTTGGTTTTTTGAAAATATAATGAAGCATCTGTCAGGAAACCTTTCAGAATTTTTTCAGACTATTAATATCGACTGAACACTAGGTTGTTGCAAATTATTTATAAAATATATAAATCTGGGTTTACGTTATAGTTTTTAAAATTTCGTACATTTTGGCGTCGTTTGTAAAGAAAAAGATTTATTTTACGCCAGTTAATAACTCAAGATCTCGTTCCTTTCTCTACTGACGTAATTCTCACAGTCATACATTAGTAATGGGATAATGATCATCGTAAATTCTTAAAGTTTTCGTAAATTGTTTTAAAATTTGTAACGTTTTATTTAGGTTTACCTCATCTAAATTTATCAAAGTTTAACCAAAATTAACCAAAAAAATTACGTGATAGGTTATTTTGGTCCGCAGGTAATAAAAACAAATTATTCTACTCGCTAAGAAATATAGAAACTGGTCACAATTTTGAAAACTATGTCATAACGGTGAAAATATTACAAAGGAAAATTAGATTACAAATTATATAATGAAAATAAATCTGGGTTTACATCGGTTTTTAAAACGTGTTATATTTTGACGTCGTTTGTAACGAAAATCATTTATGTATCTTACGGCTTTATAAAAGATTAAGATAGGAGCTGATTCTCGTAGGCCATCAAATCAAAAAATGCACTTATACAAAATCCTTTGAAATAACGATCTTGCATAAATGACGATGGAAAATCAGGTTACAAATTAAAGAAGGATTTGTAATTTAAAATGATGAAATAATTTATTTTGACGTCGTTTACAGCATGAATTAAATTATAACTTCATAATTCGTAAAGAATAGCACGTGATCTTGTTTTTTTGATAAATTTAATATAAGTATTGTGACATGTTCCACAAGTTAAGCAAAAATTATGAAGGTAAATTTCGAAAAGCTCTCCAAAATTTTTGCCAGATTTATACATAGGAAGAGACACGAATAACGCCGTCCCGCTATAAATATTTAGGTGTCAATCTCGCTCGTCACGTCTTTTTTAGTATGCGAGGAAAATGACGGGATTCATAATTCTGCCGAGATTACATACATATTGAAGATAGCGAAGTGTAGTTTTCGAGGGGAGAAAGTAATCCACGCAGAGAAAGTGGTGCAGAAAGCAAGGGGATAATTTATGGCCAATATAAAACAACCACCTGCAATAATAATAACAACACGTACGTACGAATGTCTGGATTGCACTCGCTCTTTGTCCTCTCGAGTTAATAAATAAAGGGGCTCAGAGTTGGTGAAAATGTAGTTATTTCAGGGTTTGCAAAATCAGAGTGTGACGTGATTTTATGTGACTTGCAGGATTTGATTATGGGGTAAACTGGAGTAACTTTTTGTAAAAGTATGACTGAAATTTTGTAACTTAACTGATAGAAAATCAAATTGCAAATTAAGTACACATTTAAAAAAATAGAAATCTAAAAATTGTCACATTTTCGAGTCGTTTACGCGAAAATTATTTATTTTTTGCGAGTTTGCGAATATTAGGTTCGTACGTACTCGTGGAGGTTAGGATTTTGAAAATCACATCACAGTGGTTATACATAGTCTGAGCTTTTTCATGTGCGCATTTTTGTTGATCAACTTTAATCTTTAAGATGAAAATCAAGTGCAAAATCCATCTTTGTCCTAATCGGTTTAAATCGTAAAGAAAAATGCTCAGAATTTCGTGCTAAATCCAAATATCAAGTTGGATTTGTGGTAAAACATAAATATTCTAAACAAGTTGTCTCACTTTTCCCCAAGTAAGATCGTAGGATGTGAAAATCACAGAAATCACAAAGTGTGATTATCTGTATAACAGTTCTCTAAACCCTGGAGGTTGTTATTAGTACGTTGTTCTCACTTTTTGAAGTATGGCATTACAAAATTTGTATCGTTTTGATTCGGGTTCTAAATTTGGCACTTTTGACGTCGTTTAAAATAAAAATAGCATCCATCTTATTATTAATTATAGAATTAAGATTTATCCGGATTATTGTTCAAGTTTCTGAAATTTTTATAGATTTTTATTTTCTATTCGATTTACTCTGCAATTTGTAACCACGTTATAAATAAAAAATATTCATAAACTTGCTACCCTGAGTTAATTCGTAGATAACAATTTTTGGGGATGGAATATAATTTTCTTTTTTTATATAAATTAAAGAATGTGGATCAAATTACATTTTCATATTTCAATGCACAAAAATCGAACGAAATATAATGAAGAAAAATACGATTTCATGAAATTCAGAATCCAATTTTCGATGGTGTAAATACGCTTTTAGTACTTTCAGAAACACTGTACCAAAAAATATAAAACTTATTCTATATTTTCTCACCATAAAAAATCAGGCAATTTTCTGGTGCAAGTAGATAACCACACTTTCACCAAAATCAGACCCATTGTGTCAAAAAATTTAAAATTATATTTCCACATTTCTTTCAAAAATTACAGTTCTTTTAACGGTAACAAAAAAGTACTTCAGGGTATTCTATTCACCTCTCAAATTTTTGCAACCTTACAAATTTATACCTTCCTTGACACACTGTTTATATATAAGTAAAAAAAAACTTCCATTAAAGTATCCATTTGCACCAAAATTGCACTCTTTTCCGTCCAAAAGTACCCTTTCTTTTGGGCACAAATTACCCAATTTTTGCATCATCTCTTTCACTCTTACAAACATAAACAAAGAAATATATCGCCGAAAATCCATCATAATTTCGGAGATAAGGTCACCACACGACCTTTTTTTCCTCCGTGATCCTGTCATTTTTCTCGTTTTATTTGCGAAATGATGATCCCAATGAAAAATTGCTATCTCCACCTGCGTGCCATTATTATTATTATTATTATTGCTGCGAACGAGCCGACCCCACCCGTGAAAGTAGATACATTGTAATGTTACGTATTTTATTGTGGCACTCTGCTTTCTCCAAGATAATAATCGTAACAGAGAGAAAGAGAGAGAGAGAGAAGAAAAAAGTAAGTGGAAAAATGAAATGAAATGGAGTGCTTCAATCCATCCTGCATAAAAAGACTTCAACAAGAGAAGGAATAAAGTGGTGGGAATATGGAATCGAGTTGAGATATGACCTGGTGCTGTGACCTTTTCATGAAAATGGTCACCTAACTAATTATAATTATCTATTTCTTCGTTTAAGGCAATTCACGCAGTCATTGGTAAAATCACTTTGTAAAATCTATACATCTTGTAAAATAATTTTACAAAATTTTCCAAAATAAAGAGATGTACTTGATCTGAGCAAGTTAACAACAATTTGGAAGCTAAATTACCTTCAAAATATTCCTAAAATTTTGTAAAAGTTTGGAAGTTTACAGAAATTTACTGCCTAAATTGCTCGTATTTCGCAAACTTCTCAAGTTATTAAATATTTAACGCCGATTAGAAAATAAATGTTTACTTATGGAACTGATAGAAATATTCAGATGTGTGATCTGTGGGTTCTTCTTTTACTAGAAAACTGTGTTTTTTTATGCAAATTGGCAAATGAAAATTATTTTTGAAAATAAATCTCTGAGGTTTGAAAAGTTAGTGCGTGTATGACAAAAAAAGTCGGTGAATAATTTCTTCATAATAATACGTTTATACACTAAATTAAACGGGGCAACAAAAATAAGTGGAACAAAATGGAAATTTGACAAAATAATTGTCAGAGTAGGCACTAAATGATTTGTTACCTATCGATTTTCTAGGGTGTGAGCATTCCAGTAATAAAATTGTCACCGTACTGGCAACGATTTTCTATCCACGAAATGATAATGGATCACTCTTTTAAATGCGGAAATTGATTCAGGCCTGGTAGAAAATTGTGCATAGATAATGCCCTGGCTACACTACTGTCGTAATATTCTAGAGTTTACTGATAATATGGGAAAATGCATAAGGCCAGCTACATGTGTAACTTGCAACCAATTCAGAGTTTACTCTAGAGTTTTACTAGTAAAATTTCACTAGTAAAACTCTAGAGTTCAGAGTTTTACTACGAACTCTAGCTATACCAATGTGCTACTTCAGTGTTAAACATTGAAATTTTAAGCGGGATTTCTTATTTACTGACGAGAGTCCACTTATTTTTCCAAACATAAATTCTTAGTCTTCATTTAATTTATAAGAAAATTTAAATCAATGGAGTCGCAAATAATTCAAAGTATGAAAAATTGACGAGCTAATTATTGTTAAATCCATGTCGAAAGTTGGTCGTCAACTCTTTCTCGACACTTTTATTTTAAACTAAATTATTATTTTTTAGATG